GCGGTTTGTACAGTCCCTCGCCGGGGCGTAACTCTCCCGGATCTTTGAAGATCATCCTGGAGACCCGATGCTGGGGCGCACTCTCTATCGAACGATTGCTCTCTTGTCGCTCAAGCCGTCTGCTAGCAGTCGCAACGTCCGCGAAGCCCAACTCTTGGTTGCGATCTGGAGCTCGAAGAGCTTTACCATGCATGTGATGCGGGACGTGCTGCTCATCCGACCCGAAATCCCTCTCATAGACTGGTTCCGTAGCACGGCGCGGTATCCCTCCACGAGCTTGGTGCGGTGCTGGAATTGGAGGAAGCTCCTTGTCCTTGGCAATTGCAATCGCATGTGGTAGACGCGCGGCCGGTAATCGGGAGACACCAGGTGCAGTGTTTTCTCGGGTTGATTGAGGTCTCTGGGGATTCTTCAGGTCGTGGGAGTCTTCATTTCGCGGCCTGCCACTTCCAGTTCGAGCCATTGACAATACATTCGTGTTTTCACCCGTGAAGAAAGCTCTCGGTTGATCCGTGAAGGCTTGATCGTTGCTCCGGGGTTCCTGTTCATTTGGTGCTGAACGCTCTCGAAAACTCAAATCACGTCCGGGAAGATTGAATCGTGGCTGATCCAGCTTCCTCTCGTCATCTCCATGGTGCAGAAGTTCTGGTGGTGAAGCAGTATCATGACTGCGCTGCAAAACATCGGGTTGTTGAGGACGTTGTTGAGGACGTTGGTGATGCTGTGCCTGGTGTTGCAGATAAGGCTGCTCTCGTGGATCAGATTGCCTTGGAGGCGACGGGTATGCGTGAGGCGTTGAGAACTGCGCAATCGACGTCGGAGCATGAGACTGACGTTCGGAGGATATATGTCGATTATGTACGCTACCAGCTTGATTCGCGGAAGCCTCTGCGGCTCTTCTAGCGGCTCGCTCCCTAGATCGTTGCTCGGCGGCTTGTACTCTGGCCCGCTTTTCCTCTTTGGTCATGCTGTCGAGAGTTAGTTCGAGCCTCTGAAGGGGCGAACGGTCGTTTGCGAACTTCTTGTGGCGCTCTGGTTGACCATTACGTGGTCGTCGCTGCTGCGATCCCATGGCGACATCTTCAGGTAGGATATGGGGCGCAGCAATGCCTCGTCTCTGAATGACATCATGTACGTATTGCCGGGTAGTATCTGGATTCTCTTCACGTCGCGTAGTATAATTGGCCTCGGGATTCATCTCTTGATTCTCAGTGAGCCCAGGAGAAAGCATGAATTGAAACTGTCGTGCAGACTGCGGAACGTAGCCAGTGCTGAATCTCGGGTGCTCATGAGGCGGCGTTGGCTGATGGGCATGTGGCTGGCGATGGCTAGCCGGTGGAACTAGGGGTACGTCTGGAGCGGCGGGAAGCGTTGTCGCTGTGGATTCGAAAGCTTCTTGCTGGTTTTGTTCAGCCGATGAGTAGTTTTGTCGGCGAGGTATATCTCGAGGCGAGTTCAAGGCCACTTGCTGGGGAAAGCTGAACTCGTCGAATGGAGAGGAGAGAGAAGAAGAAAACGGTGCAGCGGCAACCGCAGCGACAGGTGCACCAACACCAGCACCAGCACCAGCATCAGCACCAGCACCAGCCCCAGCACCAGCACCAGCAGGTGCATGTGCATGTGCATGTGCAAACGTCGTCGAAAATACCGGTCGTTGGTAAGAAGGCGGTCTGGGAGCCAGGCCCCGGGTGGCTCCAACAATGCTTGAAGCTGTGGGCGAGTGGGGGCTGAAGGTGGACTCTGTGAGAGCATCCGTGTTAGACGTCTGGATAGAGGCGCGATTCGACCGGGACCTGCGTGGAGGCTGGGCATCAAGCGGCACGGAACGGCTGTATTCGTCAGAGTCATAATACGTGTAGTCGTCGTACTCGTCCCTTGGCGCCCTCGGATCAGGGAATTCAGCCCATGGACGCCGCTGCGTCGGCATGGAGGGCGGAGAGCCAGTCGACTCGCCAGTGAGCGGCCTCGACTTTCACGATGCCCGGGCGATGTGTGCAGGGTGATATGATGCGTGTACTACTGGGTAGTATGGTAGTCTGGGATCTACAGACTCGTTATCTGAGAGCAAGCCGAGCGGCGTAGAGAATGGGTGGCACCAATGGTCTCGGATGTGCACCGAAAAGAGGACGATAGGGGGGCGGGCGAGACAAAAAAAAAAAGGCAAAACCTTGACGCAAGATGTATTTTATGATCTTGAAGCTTGAAAAAAGAGCCAAAAAGAAGTAAAAATAAAATTAGATAGAACGGACCATCTGGGACGTCCAACTCCTGACAATGTCTCAGCTAGGATTGAGTCGTTGATGGTCGATTTTTGGGAGGTCGGGACAACAGTGGACAGTGGACAGGGGACACGACGCAGTGACATGAACAATGCGGTGGCTGGTAACTGGCAGCTGGTAGCCGGGAGTTGCATGTGGCAGGCAGGAAAGACCCGGCCAGTCCCGCGGCGTCAAGTGGTCAGTGCCTGAGGAGCACTTGCCTCAATAATCACTGCTAGCATGTTCTATTCTACTTAGGTACTTACTTAGGTAGGTACTTAGGTACTTGTACAGCATAATATGTACATGCAAGTGCACAAGTACCCAGGTCCCCAAAGTACTGGAGTATCAGGCTAACAGTGCCTGCATGTGTGTTGAATTAAGCCCCAACCACACCCAGTGCTAAACATCATGAATGGCTCCAGTCATTCGCCAGACCCGATCTTCAAAGCATCGTGGCTCCGCTATCGGACTCGAGGACTCTGCGCCGTCCCCATGGAGGCATCCACGTCTGCTAACTGGAGTCTGATGGAATTAAGGGCCATCGCTGTCGCGAATCAGGGAAGGAAGCGCCATCTCGACGGAACTGTTCGCCGTTACGCCCACGCTGGAGGTCTCCCTTGGGCGCAACATTGGACATTGGAGTCGCAGCTCGGCGACTCCACTATTTTTGCGTCATCGTGAACAACCAGACGAGGCCAGGCCGCCCGTCTGGGCGAAATGCCTCGCGCCAAAAACAAAACACCCGCCAGGCCAGCAAAGAATTCTGTATTGGGCCAAACCGTCGAGCCATGCGGCATCATTGTCACATGCATACTGCCAGCCTGTGCTTTTGCCTTGCATCGAAACGCATTCGGCCAGAGGAACAAAAGCCATGCCTCCTCCGTCTCCTTGATGGCACCAAGACTCTTCTCGGTCCCCGATTCTTTAGATCTCGATAGGTAAGTAAGTAGGTAGGTAGGTAGTTGGCAAGTTGTTGTACATAAAAATAGAGCCCGGCGGCAGGCCCTGCCTTCCCGGCTCCCCGTCTTCCTCTCTTCCTTCTCCACGCCATACCCTTACCAGCCAGGACCAGGGGGACCAGGGGCCTTCACTGCGGAGGCCTCAGCCTCGATCAATTGCGACTGGGTCTGGTTGGTTGGTGCAGGCCGGGGTGGTCACGCCACCGGCGGCTGGTGCCCGCAGCCCACTGGTGCGGCAGGCGCGTCACCACCTTGTCGCGGTCCGGCCAGGCCCAAACAATGGACATGGCCAGAAACACATTCGTCGAGCACGTGCGAAACCCGGCTTCAACCATCATGTCCAACTCTGCCCCCGCACCACCAGGTCGTCTCGTATCGCACTTTGCGGACAGGTACATTTCTACTTAGACATGGCGTCCCTGTCATATCCCATCTTGTGAATCGCTGGGAGCAAGCGTCCTTTTAACGATTCACCGTGGACCGCTAGATCTCGGAGTGAACAGACGGCAGCATGGAATGACCTCTGGGAATCCGACGAAAATGACCTCTGGGACCGGGGCATGCCCTCTCCGGCGCTCATCGACTTTGTAGAATCCAGGTCAGAGGCGCTGTGTTCGCCCTCCCCTGTCAACGGTGAAAGACTACGTGCTCTCATTCCTGTAGGTACATCATGGCTCTTTTCAAAGCTCTTCTTCTCCCTGCAAGATGTTCGTCGTCGTGATGCTCGCATTTGTTTATGCCATGGCGTGCAGGGTTGCGGTCGGGGCTACGACGTAGCCATGCTCGCCTTGCACGGCTTCGACGTCTACGGCCTGGAAGTCTCGTCCAAGGGCGCCCAACTCGCTCGCGATTACACAGCGCGAGAACTTGAGAGCCCGCATGACTACAATTACGGCCGCCAAGGCAGATTCGAAACGCCGCCCGGGTCTGTCCATATCATTACAGCCGACTTTTTCAACCACGACTGGGAGACTCTGCTCGGCGAAGATGGCAAGCGAGGGTTTGATCTCATCTACGATTACACGGTATGGTTTACGGAATGGAAGGAGACGAAACGATGACCCCTCATTTTCATTGTGTCCGGCACAACTTCCCTCCTTCTCTTCGTAGCGGACTCTGACTACGCATATGCTAATCACTCCGGGTTCATCTCGTCTCATCTCCTCAGTTTCTTTGCGCATTGCTGCCTGAGATGCGCAAGGACTGGTCCCTAAGGATGGCGGAACTGGTCGCCCCGAGCGGCGTGCTTGTGTGCCTCGAGTTTCCCATGTACAAGGAACTCGGAGCTGTTGGTCCCCCATGGGGCCTTCGAGGCGTTCATTGGAACCTTTTGGCGGAGGGACAAGACGGTATCATTCACGAGCCCGGCAATGTTGAGGATGAAGACGTGGCCGACGGTCCCTTTAAGAGGATCGTGTACCTCAGGCCGGAGCGCTCCTTTGAAGCTGGACGGGGCACCGACATGCTCAGTGTATGGAAGCTAAAATGAAGAAAATCGAATACAAGGCGAAACTCTGCCTGGTTATTTCCTCGTGTCGCTCATGTCCATTGGCTGGTCGCAAACCCCGTTCATAGCCAGGCTGACAGCCAAAAACTTGCGTGACCAAAACAAAAAACATACCGATGCAAAACGACAGAAGATACTAGTTTAACAGCTTAATTGACAAAAAGGGCAAAAGAAAAGACAGAGGATGGCTGGAAAGAAATTTGAGGATTCTCAAGCCATTGGGAAATGGCAAACCAAAAAAAGAAGGTAAGGAAAGCATCGTGGAACGATTCTTGCTCCCGGCAGGGCTTGAACCTGCGGCCTCCGCATCACTAACGTTTATTAGTACGAAGCTCTAACCAACTGAGCTACGGAAGCTCTCCTTAAGTTGTGAGAAGACCCCGTATTTTTTACTATATACTCTAAAAAATACTTCCGTGGTAAGCAAATCAATCGTTCAGGCAAGAGAAAACCCACCAGTCTTTACTATTTCAGCATGACGTTCCGAGCCAATCGGTGTGGCGTTTCTTTGTGCGGCGTGCGAACCTCAGTTCCTTCGAAGACTGTATCGCAATTCACGAAGTAAATGTAATCTGCCATGCACGCCTGCGTATCATTCTTATAACGGCGGATGCTATGTTTTCTATTCCTAGTCGTGCAGCTGTCCTGCGTTCAGACAGGATTCGACTCTTGCGGACGATTTCCCCACCGCCACGTGCCGGGATACACGAATCTTGTCAACTTGGTCCTATGCAGCGGTCGGAACCTTTCACCTGCAAGTAACATGACGGCCATCAATTGCCGCAGGCCACCAAACCAAGGCTACGATGTTCCCAGTTAGGCAAAGGACTCAGCTAGTACCGTGTGGTCGGGTGCCGTGGGTCAGATGCGTGTACGCATGGCACAGCATGGATTTTCAGCCTTTGACTGTCGTGGCAAAGCCATTTATCGTGGACTCGATCAAGGTTTAGTTTGCGTCTGCCATCTCAAGTCACGGACCAGAAACGAGCGCACGGGATGAATCAAGCTATCACTTTGCACAGTCAGAACATTTTGTCCGACCAGATGACGCACGTAGGACACGTTGAAAGCACGTGGCGATGATGGCGTCACCAAGGGGTAAAAATCTACCAGGGAAAACTTTGGTTTCATCGCTTGAGATGGCTGAATTCGCATCAGTTGGTCTTATCCCGAGTTCTATCCGACTGGCATCCGACATCTCTCCGTTCCGACTCCGATTCTGGATGTGGCTTTTCCGCATAGAAGAAGCCTTTTCTCCATAAGCTTTGTTTCAGCTGACAGCCACACTGACATCGTCAATTTGGCACACAACTAAGCATAGGTTGGCCTCGGATAATTCTCAAACGACGGATAACTTGGGCGGTTTTTCTCCAAAACCCCCCTTCCGGATAGGTGGCTAGGAGCGAAGCCTTGCGGGGCATTCCAGAATCCATAGCATGCTCCGCGAGGTCACCATTGATTGAACGGGTCGTTCTGCTCTTCAAACGTCGAGTCCAAGCAACGCCTCGTCACAGTTCGGTAATGGACATTTTGTTCCACCAATCTCCTCCGCGTCCTTGTCTTCTTCATAGCCTTGCAGGGCAGACCATCGCGAGGTACAGGACCTGTCATATTGATGGACACTACTCAAGACTCTCAGCCCTCTTGAGCCCCAGGGACGTCATGGCGCAGGTTGTACCAGAATTCGCAATTCTGGATTGCCCAACCTGCTTGATGGGACAGCCACTGGCAGTCCAGAATTATACAATCCATTGCGGTTGATGCAGTTGAGGCCTTGGCCTTTCCGAAGAGCAACATCAGCCTTGCGGACCCTGTTGATGTACATGGGCTATAATCACCATCACCATATGGTGGAGAAATGGGGAGGTCGTGTTGCGGCTCTGTGCCAGAGTTCACCAGTTTACCTTTAAGGGTCTTGACTCCTCGCCCAGAATGAATAGCAATCAAGCAACGAACTGATCCTCGTCATCTTTTCGACTGGGACTTTCACTCTCTGAAACTCAAGAGTCAACATGGCGCGCAAGACTACCCTTCTCCTCGCTAGCGTCCTTGTCTCCATGGTCTTGGGCGCGGCTGTAAACGACAAGAGCGAGTGTGGTGCGCCTGAGCCTACTGAGGAGCATATTTCAGTCGCCAAAGAAATGGCCCTGAACGAGTCCAGAATCTCGTTCCACAACTTTGCTCTTCTTGCCGACGTCGATGTTCCCGTTTATGTCCACGTTGTGACTGCAAATAAGAATCAATTTTCCAAGGTAGGCATTCGATTCCCTCTACGCCCTCGTGTCGTCGGCTACCACCATCAGAAACGCTTACAAGAAACACAGGAAAAAGACGTCCGGGCTATGATCACCACCATGAACGAGAACTACAAGAATATGGGCTTTCAATTTACCCTCAAGAAGGTTGGTTATACTGTCAACGTCGACTGGGCCAGCGGCCAGAATGGGTTGGCCATGAAGAAGCAGCTCCGCAAGGGTGACTACAAAACGCTCAACCTTTACTACGTCAACACCGTGGCCCGGACCTCGACTGGAGCGATTACCGGCACGTGTCAATTACCAAACAAGGGCAGCAACAGCGGCAATAATCTAATCTTGGACGGCTGTGTCATCCGACGTGATACTATGAGCAATGGCCAGACCACCGCTCACGAAGTCGGCCACTGGCTGGGTCTCTTTCATACCTTTCAGGGCGGTTGCACCGGTACTGGCGACATGGTTGATGACACTCCTGCTTGCAAGCAGACCTGGAGCTGCGACGAGAATATGGATACTTGTCCCAAGATTCCGGGAAAGGATCCTGTCCACAACTTCATGGCCTACGGCAATTGCCGCAGGCAGTTCACTGACGGCCAGGCTAAACGCGCTCGCAGCCAGTACCAATTCTACCGCGCTCAGGAAACTTGAGCTCAGGGGAATGTTTTGGATGATGAGGGCGGGTTTTTTTTTTTTTTTTTTGGGGGGGGGGGGTTGGAAGAGTGATTCGGGATAGACAATGACGAAACCGAGAGCTGTACAATCTCATGCAAAGTAGACGTTTTAAGTTCCTGCCTTTTATGGCTGGCATGACGAGAAGTGAATTCAACAACGAAGACGTGAGCGCTTAGTTCCAGGTAGTGCTGGACTTGGAGCCCACTGCGGTATTCTTTCTCCGGCTTCTGCACAGGGGTTTTCAATTCCAGCCAAGGCGACTCATGGCTCCAAATTATATTGGATTTTTGACTGTGCGATGGAACATGACGTGGAAGGTTGCAGGGTTTCCGCACCAAAACGGATCTGAGAATCATTTGATTATAATGCCCGTCCAGTCATTACCGCGTGCTGGATCTTTGCAATGGCTATGCCTAGAGAAGATTGCCGTCATTAATTGGAGATTGGTACAAAAAAGCTGTGGATTCTTTGTCCGAGTTCTGCGCAGGTTAGGCCAATGCGTGCCGTGCCGTTGCTGCCCTAATATCAAGGCATCACTTCCGGTGGTGGTGGGTGGCGGCCCTGCCGACCGCTCCTGCTCCCGACTTGGATATTTTTTGCTCGTCCATCGAATCGCAGGTCGTAGCTGCCATTGCACGTCACATTTCATCCCACAAAACAATTCCAACCGAGAGCATTCTTTTGCCTGGCGCAAAGTTGCATCTTGCACCGTTTTCTCACTGACAGCCTACAGGAAATAGTCGATCTATTTTCTCGTCCACTTTCTCGTGCAACACTCCACCGTTTAGTTTGTTACGACAAGGCGGTCGCAAACCCCACCATCAAAACACCATCAAAACTGTTTCGGTCAACCCACTCATCTCATCGTCACGTACAACCCTCAGGTCGGAGACTTGATTCGAAACAACCCCCGCCTCAGAAATAACTGCCGGCGATGGCTACTGCCGTTGAAGCACCAAACATGGATCAGCAGGTCGACCTGTCGACGATCCCCATCTCCCCCAACGGCAAGAACGAAGGCGCCGATGCCAAGGACAGCAACAAACCTGTCACTGTCTTCCACGATAAAGATAACTTCAACGTCAAGCACCCTCTCCAAAACAAGTGGACCCTGTGGTTCACCAAGCCCCCGAGTGGAAAGGTCAGAACATAGTGCGCTGGACATGGCCTCACCTGTTGATGAAGGACTAATAAGTGCAATAGGGCGACAACTGGAACGACTTGCTCAAGGAAGTGATCACCTTTGATTCCGTGGAAGAGTTCTGGGGAGTATACGTGCGTCTCAACATTTCTTGCCCCTTGATTATCAAGTGATATTTCGCAAACGGTCTAATCTTTCGCAGAACAATGTTGCTCCCGTTTCCGAACTTGCCTTAAAGTCTGACTACCACTTGTTCAAGGCTGGTGTGCGACCCGAGTGGGAAGACCCCCAGAACAAGCATGGCGGAAAATGGTCGTACCAGTACAAAGAAAAGAGAAGCGTCGATGTCGACCGCCTGTGGCTGCAGGTCATGATGAGTGTTATTGGCGAGACCCTGGAGGACGAGGACGATGGTGAGGTCATGGGTGTTGTCGTCAACGTCCGCAAGGGCTTTTATCGTATAGGTGTCTGGACCCGGACCATTGGCAAGGCCATTGCTGGTCGTGGTGATGGCGACGTTGCTGGCGGAAAGGGTCGCAGCATGGAAAAGGGCAAGGACATTCTCATGTCTATTGGTCGCCGCTTCAAAGAAGTTCTTGAACTCCCAGCCAATGCAGAGGTCGAGTTCTCCGGCCACACAGACAGTGCACAATCGGGAAGCACAAGAGCGAAAGCTAAGTACACCGTGTAAAAAGCAGAATCACGGTAGAGAGAAGACCCTCAGGCCTCTGCAGGAGGATGAGAGGAGATACGGTGGCGAAGAAGTCTGGTTCGAATCACAGGTTTCCTTCCCTCTGCTCTGTCGTTGCCCTGAAACCGACAACAGGCTCAACACTCAACGACAATGATTGGCGGCGATTGATTGTTGGTGTATGCCGCGTCCTTGTCAAGCATCGAATGAGATGCCGCATTATTACAAAAAGGGAGAAGGGGTTCTTTATGGGAACTCAACAGGAAGTCTACACTGCGCATTTCAGAGATATGGTCTATGTTTTATACGGCGGCGTTTTGCAAGGTAGCTACTTCATGATGATTTCTACTCGGACAAACGCGCAAAGTCCTCGTAGAGGATTGCCCACGTGCTGTGACCTGAAATGACTATTTTAAAAATTGGATTTTTTGCGTCATCTGATGCCGCTCATACTTTTACAAGATACATGCAGTCGATTCTTAGCGGCATGAAATGATGCTACACCTGCAAGCACCAGTACCACCCACCTGCACCTACCTGCCTTGCAGCGACCACGATGCCCAGCACCTGTTGTCTCAGTCCCCAGTCCTCAGTC